CAGCGCTAGCCCCTGGTGTAGCGGGAGGTTGGCGGGGCGGGGGTGCGGGAGCCGGGGAGCAGCCGGGGCTGCGCGGCCTTTTAAGGGAGAACTATCTGCCCGGGGCGCGTCCGCCCCCGCCCCGGGGACACCCCCCGCTCCCGCCGCCCTTTCGCCGCCGGGGGATGTTCTGCGAGCACCGGCCCTGCGGGGGCGGCTCTGGCCCCCCTTGAGGCGTGTGCTCCACCGGGGCCGCCGGCTAGGGGGAGAGGGCCCTGGCCGGGGCGCACGGGAGGACCGGGGCCGGCCGAGACAGCAAGCGGGGCGGGGCGGGGCGGGGCGGTGGGACGGTGCGGGGCGGCGCTGGGGCGGTGCGGGGCGGTGCGGTGTAATCCCCGCGCTGCACTGTCACCTCCCGACCCCGGTGTCGCCGCCGGTTCCCTGGGCGCTGCGCGGTGGCGGGAGGGCTGCCCGGCCCCGGCGGCTGCTGAAGGCCGGTTCCGGGCTCCCCCCGGGCACCGCTGTCCCCCGGAGCCGCCGGTGAGCTGTGCGTTCCCTCCAGGTGACGGTGTGTCCCGCAGCCACAGCGCAGCCCCCGGTGACTCTGCCCTGGGCGCCATCCGGCCCCCGGGGACATGGAGGGGGCGGGCGGCAGGGGCCGGGGCGCGGTGGGGGACCTGAGGAGGAGCTGGCAGAGCTGGGCGGACGATCACATCCAGTACCAGCAGAAGAACCCCTTCAGCGGAGAGGCCGGGCCGGCCCCCAGGGCCCTGCCCGCTCCCCGGGGAGACCCCTCCTACGGGAGACCCCCCGAGGGGTCGCGGACCGAGCAGCGGGGAAAAGACGCTCACTCCCAGGTGGGGAAGGAGGTGGAGGAGCTGTGCATGGTCATCAGGAGGACGGGAGAGGTGGGAGAAGACGGACTCGTGAGCGTGACCTTCGGGCGGCTGTTCGAGACCTACGTGACCATCTCCAACAAGGTGGTGGGGATCCTGCTGAGAGCCAGAAAGCACGGGCTGGTTCGCTTCGAAGGTGAGATGCTCTGGCAAGGAAAGGATGATGATGTGGTCATCACTTTGCTGGAATAAGGCTGTCACCACACTGCTGTGGGGTTCCGTTTGGAAAAACGTACCTGGATACCGTCTTGGAAGAGGTTGGAGCTGTGCATGGTCATCAGGAGGACGGGAGAGGTGGGAGAAGACGGACTCGTGAGCGTGACCTTCGGGCGGCTGTTCGAGACCTACGTGACCATCTCCAACAAGGTGGTGGGGATCCTGCTGAGAGCCAGAAAGCACGGGCTGGTTCGCTTCGAAGGTGAGATGCTCTGGCAAGGAAAGGATGATGATGTGGTCATCACTTTGCTGGAATAAGGCTGTCACCACACTGCTGTGGGGTTCCGTTTGGAAAAACGTACCTGGATACCGTCTTGGAAGAGGTTTTCAGTAGGAATGTCACCTCTGCTGCTTGCTGGGACGTGAGCAGGAGAGAAAATGGGCAAGAAGGATGAAAAGTATCTCTGCAAGAATGGCAGAGGTTTGGACAGAAGTCACCAATAAGGCTGGGACGTGAGCAGGAGAGAAAACGGGCGAGAAGGATGAAAAACATCTCTGCAAGAACGGCAGAGGTTTGGACAGAAGTCACCAATAAGGAACCAACCCACCGAGCTGCTGCTAGATTGTCCTTGCCTTGTGATCACCCAGCACCACGTGGACAGCAGTTCCCCAGGTAACTCTGCTGCTTTGGGCTGCGGAAAGTACAAACACTGACTCTGCTGCTCCACACTGACCGTGCTGGCTGTGAGACACTCACTGGGGGCTCTGGATTTGTAAAACACTGAATTGAAAACTTTTATGGGAATTCATATACATCTTCAAAAAAAAGAGCCTGGTATGTAACAGAAGTTTAAATTATATTCACATGGTGAAACTGAGTAAATGGAAGTTACTTTCACGCAGTATCTGAAAACTAACAAATTTACAGAAACATCACAGCAAGGGTATTTGATAGTTCCTAAATTGCTTACATCTTGTGTGCATTTCAGAGAGCTGCACTAGTGCTGGTATTTAATAGTCTATTCTTAGTATCATATCTTCCCCTAATCTTCCATCTCGTTTTTCCTCTGTATCTCACAGTTTTTACCTGTTCTGTGCTTCTGTTGCTGCATCGTACCCTAGAGATCCCAAAGCCCTGCAGCCTTCTTGGTGAATTCAGCTGATTCCCCTTCCTGGAGGTCGGGTGCCACAATGGAAAGATGTGAAAGGCAAGGGACACTCTGCTCAGGGACACTCTGCCTTCCTGAAAGGAAAAAAAAAAGGCTGTAGCAATGTTGTTGACAACAGAACAGCAGTGATCCTGTAGTGCCAAAAGCGTAACTAAAGGTATGGCGGGGCGGTCCCACACCTCCTCTGGCTGAGGTGGTTCTTTCAGAGGATGGTTGTGAGTTCTCCAAACTGGGAGGATCCGTGAGTGAAAACTGAGACTGAAAGATAACCAGTAGGAATTTCCTTCATGGTTATTCCAGGGGAACTTCTTCTATGTTTAAAAAAGAAAAAATAAATATTTAAAACAATCAGGGGCTGTATTTACAATAGTTCCCACCAAGAAAACTTGGGAGGATCCGTGAGTGAAAACTGAGGCTGAAGGATAACCGGTCGGAATTTCCTTCACGGTTATTCCAGGGTAACTTCTTCTATGTTTAAAAAAGAAAAAAAAAAACTATTAAAAACAATCAGGGTCTGTATTTACAATAGTTCCCACCAAGAAAACTGTATAATTAGAAATATAAAGTTCTATTTTTTACCAGTGCAAATAAAAGCTCTTATGTGGTGTTACCTACAGTACTTGGTGGGTCTTAGCATAAGATACTCTTTTGCCTCAAAAGGATATTGAAATTTAATATAAATTATGAACTTGATAAGAGTGATAGATTATTTTATCCTACTTATATGAAAGAACACTACGCAAAAAGCCTAAAAGAACGGGTTTTGGTTTGATGTTGTCATCCAATGGGGATTGGCAAAATAAACCCATGGATTTAATTATCCCTCTGCCTCCTTTTGGTCGTGAAAGGACAGCGCTAGCAGCAAAGGAGGGCAGGGATGGCTGTGCTGCAGCCAGTGTCTCTGGGGGACGGAGCCGGCTGCAGAGGGAGCGGGGAGGGGAGACAACGGGGGGCTCATCCCCCCAGGGTGTTGCTGTGCTGGGAGGCAGGGAGTAGGTGCTGCAGGTGCTGCTGTGTGTCCCTTAGCACCCAAACCCTCCTGCTTCCCAAACACATCTGGGTCCTGCCGCTGAAAACGAGAGGTGTAACTTCTGATCCTAACGCATTTAAAATGCTTTGGGTTTGGAACAGCATTTCTTGCCAGTGACAGGAGACCCCTCCGTGGGTTTCAGCTCCCATCAGACAAAGCCTGGACGGGCATTCGGATTTCAAACTCAATCAAGCTTTTGATAATACAGCCATGGAATGTGGTTTGTTTAATCCTAACAGTTTCCTCAGGCAGTCGGTGCTGCCGTAGCACTCGCAGGAAGCAGTGTCGGGCGGTGTGGGTGCTGCCAGCTGACTGACAGGATCGGCTGCAGAGGGAGCGGGGAGGGGAGACAACGGGGGGCTCATCCCCCCAGGGTGTTGCTGTGCTGGGAGGCAGGGAGTAGGTGCTGCAGGTGCTGCTGTGTGTCCCTTAGCACCCAAACCCTCCTGCTTCCCAAACAGATCTGGGTCCTGCCGCTGAAAACGAGAGGTGTAACTTCTGATCCTAACGCATTTAAAATGCTTTGGGTTTGGAACAGCATTTCTTGCCAGTGACAGGAGCCCCCTCCGTGGGTTTCAGCTCCCGTCAGACAAAGCCTGGACGGGCATTCGGATTTCAAACTCAATCAAGCTTTTGATAATACAGCCATGGAATGTGGTTTGTTTAATCCTAACAGTTTCCTCAGGCAGTCGGTGCTGCCGTAGCACTCGCAGGAAGCAGTGTCGGGCGGTGTGGGTGCTGCCCGCTGACTGACAGGATGGTTGTACCAGGAACAGTAGTGAAGAGACACAGAGCTGAGGGTGTGGGTGCTGCCAGCTGACTGACAGGATGGCTGTACCAGGAACAGTAGTGAAGAGACACAGAGCTGAGGCCGTGTGTGGCCTGAGCACCCCGAGATGCGAGTCCAGCTCATGCAAACTGACTAGTGCTTAATTAAGGCTGGCCCAAGTAGTTAAATGACAGGATTCTAGGCTATATAAGCAGTTGGTGTTGGGTGCCCACGTGGCCTCTGTGCCCCCCCCTCCCGCTGCTGGGTGGTTTAAGCACCAGAGCACAGCTACAGGAGCTTCACACACACCCCCGGGCAGAACAGAGAGCAGCAGAATAAGCCCCAGGGAAATGGCTTACCAATTTTATCAGCAACTATGAAAAGCTTGCCCTATGGTGGTACTTGGAATAAAACCAAGGATTATTATCAAAAAGATTAGTTATAGAGGGATGGCTATATAAACAATCATAGAGCCAAATTCCCTACCTGCCAGCTTTAGCTGAGCATTCTGAGGAGTGACCGAAATCTTTCCGTGTGCCCATGAAATGGTTCTGAACACCAAAAAGCTGCCAAACTGGGTCAGGCTGACAAATCCAACCTCCTGCTTCCAGCTACGGCCAGTATTTCAAAAGAAGTCTGAAAGACAGATAATACAACTGGTCAGTTTGTGCACTGGTACACACCAGAACAAATCCCTCCCAAAGCCTGTGGAGTCAGGAGCACATCGTAGCCCATGGACACGGCTCCCTTCAGCTACCAATTCACAAGCTTTATACAATTCTGCTTCTCCCCTGCCATGTGGGGATAAGTATCTGCAGATGAAACAGGAATTTGAACTTTTCAATAGGCAGCCTTTCAGCAACAGGCCCCCATTGGACTAAATGGAATTTATTAAATTATTTTCAGAAAATTGTAGCACATGAGGTTTTCTAGTACTACAGATCGTTTAGAGTAGTAAGTAAAATCTGACCTTCCAAAAGGTGTTCTTGCTCTGCTCAGTAACTTTCAGCTCTTCAAACCTCTCGTAAATTTCACTTCTTTGTGGCAAACTCCCTTGGTCAGCTTTCCTCCTCTTCTGCTTGAAGCCATGAATTCTGCAGGTTTTTGGTCTGTATGTTGTACAGGGATTTGCCATATTTCCTCTGGTCAAACACTGAAGGCACTTTCAGCACTTCAATAAATATTGCACATCCGTTTGAAATGACAGTACGTGAGGTTTTATGCAGCATTTTATTGTTTGTTAAATTTCAAATATGATTCTCAGGTTTGCTCCCATTCTTATGCTTTTATTTATAACTCACACTTAAGAAGACTTCATAGCAGCCTGGAGAGCTATTACCAGTTTAATTGCATTGAAAATGCTGTCCTTAGTCAAAACACAAACTTTTTTTGATTCTACATTAGCAGCGTTGTACGTGTAACAGTGCCATCCTTCAGAGGGGGCAGATAGCACTTCAGTGCAAAGCAGTGTTCTCTGGGTTCACATCAGGTTGGGAGTTTATGTAAAACAGCTGAGCAAAAGAGCACAAATAAAGCTTTGTCATTCCCAGCCATGCAGTCAAAAAAGCAGCTTTTCTGGGGAGTGCTAATGCGGATGAAGGAACAAGACCCAGGGGCCATGGCTGCGCGGCTTCCCTTTGCCCCTCTGGCCCCCGGGGAGCAGAGCTGCCCAGTAAGTTCACTCTCCAGCCGTATTTTATCGTTCTTTGCTCACTGGGAAGCTCCACAGGTGACTGTGGAGGTTTTGGAGCGATGCGGGGACGCTGCTGGGGACACAGGGATATGGTTGATGGGCTCCGCTCACCACCTCCTCCAGGGGCTGGCCGGGAACTCCAAAACGTACTCGGAGCGCCAGGGCAGGCCCGTCAGAAAATATTTCTTAGCCCAATTAAAAAAATTATCTCCTGAGTCCAAGAATGCTTGTCAATACAGAAGGAAAATGGAACAGGGTTCTGTGCTGAAAACCACTAATGAGATACTGAGCACTCATCTCAGTAATTAACACGGCTCCCTGTAACACTTTGAGGCCCGTCTGCCCCCGTCAGACAAGCTGAATTCCCCATCTTGCCCCTCAGCAACATTTGGAACCTAGATTCTAGCCTGATTTTTACCTTTCCAGTCTTGCTGCCACTAGCAGGACCCTTCTCAAACGCGAGACACGAAGAGGTGCCTGGTGCTGCTGAGGAGGTGCTCCCTGGCTGTGGTGGGGACGGTTCTCCTCAGAGCTGCCCCAGGGTGTGTGCGCTGTGACGGACGGAGCGTTGGCCACACAACAATGGCTTCTGGCCATTGCTGAGCGTCAAGGGCTCCCCTTGCCCCTGCTCTGCCCCTGCAGCAGGTGAAAAGCTGCACATCCCACACCCTACGATGCCAGGCTCACCAACAGACACTGGGGGGTGAGCAGGGGGCAGCCATGGCTGCTGCCCAGCTTGTGGGAGGCCATGAGCGATGGCCCGCGCACCACCTGCCCTGGGTTTTATTTTAGTTTCTCTTTCCTTCATTTATTAAACTGTCTTTCTCTCGACCCATCAGTTTTCTCACTCTTGCTCTTCCCATTCCTTCCCCAGTCCCGGCAGGTCGGGGTGGGGAGGGAGTGAAGGGCTGTCAGGGTCAAACCCCCAGTCAACTGTTTCAGTGCACAGGGAGATCATTCCAGGATTAGCATTTATTCTGTTCATTAATCCTTTTTGACAGCAGTTCGTGTTGGTACTTTAAATATTACATGTCACAGTTAAGTACAGTTACATAAATTAATTACAAATCAGAACACACACACAGCATTGACTCTTGAAAGACTTACTGTTGGGATGTTCCACAAGGCCGGGGCCAGCGCAGACCTCCCCGAATATTGCACAGAAGCAGCCAAAGTTCAGTGCTTTAATTCACGCTCTTCCTACCTAACCTTAGAGATTAAACCCCCAAAGGACCACAAATGACACACAAGCACTAATAACAACAAGACATTGTGAGAAAAGAGAGGTGTCAACTTTTGTGGGTAGAAAACGTTGCTCCTCAGAAAGGTGTGAACTTTCTGAAGTGTTATTAAAGTTTACTGTAAGAATATGACAATTCATTGTATCACTAAGGCAAGAGGTGCTGAGAGGATTGTGTTGAGGGAAGTTTGGGGGTGCCACAGACCATCGTCACCTCAGCTGCACCCAAAGGCATCGGCCACAGACAGGCAGTGAGCTGGGCACCAAGAATGCGAGGGGAGAACTTGCACTCCATGTTTTCTGGACTCTGCCTTAATAAGGCCCTGGAGCGCAGAGCGCCGGCACCACTGACTCCACCACGCAGCAAAGGCCAGCAGACAGCAGGTTCCTCAAACCACCCCTTTATTTATAACTCACACTTAAGAAGACTTCATAGCAGCCTGGAGAGCTATTACCAGTTTAATTGCATTGAAAATGCTGTCCTTAGTCAAAACACAAACTTTTTTTGATTCTACATTAGCAGCGTTGTACGTGTAACAGTGCCATCCTTCAGAGGGGGCAGATAGCACTTCAGTGCAAAGCAGTGTTCTCTGGGTTCACATCAGGTTGGGAGTTTATGTAAAACAGCTGAGCAAAAGAGCACAAATAAAGCTTTGTCATTCCCAGCCATGCAGTCAAAAAAGCAGCTTTTCTGGGGAGTGCTAATGCGGATGAAGGAACAAGACCCAGGGGCCATGGCTGCGCGGCTTCCCTTTGCCCCTCTGGCCCCCGGGGAGCAGAGCTGCCCAGTAAGTTCACTCTCCAGCCGTATTTTATCGTTCTTTGCTCGCTGGGAAGCTCCACAGGTGACTGTGGAGGTTTTGGAGCGATGCGGGGACGCTGCTGGGGACACAGGGATATGGTTGATGGGCTCTGCTCACCGCCTCCTCCAGGGGCTGGCCGGGAACTCCAAAATATACTCGGAGCGCTAGGGCAGGCCTGTCAGAAAATATTTCTTAGCCCAATTAAAAAAATTATCTCCTGAGTCCAAGAATGCTTGTCAATACAGAAGGAAAATGGAACAGGGTTCTGTGCTGAAAACCACTAATGAGATACTGAGCACTCATCTCAGTAATTAACACGGCTCCCTGTAACACTTTGAGGCCCGTCTGCCCCCGTCAGACAAGCTGAATTCCCCATCTTGCCCCTCAGCAACATTTGGAACCTAGATTCTAGCCTGATTTTTACCTTTCCAGTCTTGCTGCCACTAGCAGGACCCTTCTCAAACGTGAGACACGAAGAGGCACCCCGGTGCTGCTGAGGAGGTGCTCCCTGGCTGTGGTGGGGACGGTTCTCCTCAGAGCTGCCCCAGGGTGTGTGCGCTGTGACGGACGGAGCGTTGGCCACACAACAATGGCTTCTGGCCATTGCTGAGCGTCAAGGGCTCCCCTTGCCCCTGCTCTGCCCCTGCAGCAGGTGAAAAGCTGCACATCCCACACCCTACGATGCCAGGCTCACCAACAGACACTGGGGGGTGAGCAGGGGGCAGCCATGGCTGCTGCCCAGCTTGTGGGAGGCCATGAGCGATGGCCCGCGCACCACCTGCCCTGGGTTTTATTTTAGTTTCTCTTTCCTTCATTTATTAAACTGTCTTTCTCTCGACCCATCAGTTTTCTCACTCTTGCTCTTCCCGTTCCTTCCCCAGTCCCAGCAGGTCGGGGTGAGGAGGGAGTGAAGGGCTGTCAGGGTCAAACCCCCAGTCGACTGTTTCAGTGCACGGGGAGATCATTCCAGGATTAGCATTTATTCTGTTCATTAATCCTTTTTGACAGCAGTTCGTGTTGGTACTTTAAATATTACATGTCACAGTTAAGTACAGTTACATAAATTAATTACAAATCAGAACACACACACAGCATTGACTCTTGAAAGACTTACTGTTGGGACGTTCCACAAGGCCGGGGCCAGCGCAGACCTCCCCGAATATTGCACAGAAGCAGCCAAAGTTCAGTGCTTTAATTCACGCTCTTCCTACCTAACCTTAGAGATTAAACCCCCAAAGGACCACAAATGACACGCAAGCACTAATAACAACAAGACATTGTGAGAAAAGAGAGGTGTCAACTTTTGTGGGTAGAAAACGTTGCTCCTCAGAAAGGTGTGAACTTTCTGAAGTGTTATTAAAGTTTACTGTAAGAATATGACAATTCATTGTATCACTAAGGCAAGAGGTGCTGAGAGGATTGCGTTGAGGGAAGCCTGGGGGTGCCACAGACCATCGTCACCTCAGCTGCACCCAAAGGCATCGGCCACAGACAGGCAGTGAGCTGGGCACCAAGAATGCGAGGGGAGAACTTGCACTCCATGTTTTCTGGACTCTGCCTTAATAAGGCCCTGGAGCGCAGAGCGCCGGCACCACTGACTCCACCACGCAGCAAAGGCCAGCAGTCAGCAGGTTCCTCAAACCACCCCACATGGCCCAGTTTTGGGCAAAGTCCCTGCTATCCCAAATTCCAATCCGATTGCAGTTATACCAGCCTGCCACACGCTCACTGCACTACAGACCTTTCTCTTGTGGCCGCACCGCTGACTGTCACACAGCAAAGGCCAGCAGTCAGCAGGTTCCTCAAACCACCCCACATGGCCCAGTTTTGGGCAAAGTCCCTGCTATCCCAAATTCCAATCCAATTGCAGTTATACCAGCCTGCCACACGCTCACTGCACTACAGACCTTTCTCTTGTGACTTCATTTGGAAATCTGATTCAGCCAAGGCATTAGTAATCTCCAAGGCACTTCCAGTGAGATCAGTATCAGAACATCTAAAAATTTGGATACTTTTTTCTATCATCGTACAGAAGAGTGATATATTAAATCAATTCCTCTGAACTCTTCACATCTTTGTAAGCATAGAGTAACTAACTTGACATACTGTGTACATAAGGGAGAAAAAAAAAATCTTTAAGTCCAACATACAACCACTTACACGTACATTTAAACTATATTCTATGTTATACAGCATTATCACATCTTAGGCACCTATCGTATTAACACTTACTATGTCACTGTCATGCAAATAAGACAGGTAATACATTAAAGTGGTTTAGCACCAGAAAGACAGTAGTGTATTTTCAGCAATGTGCCTACTCATAACCAGGCTTAAGTAACACATCATACAAATACAGGTGGAAACTAACATGTTTTAGATGTTACTCGCAATCCCAGAACAACGCATCTTTGACAGAACAGCTTGATTCTGCAACAAACATTCCCTTTGGTACCACGTACCTGCTGTTAGTAGTGACTTGCTGCCTTAGTTGTACTAGATTCTGCTGCTACACCCTGCCTTTCGCTAGGAAAAGTGCTCTGTGTGTATGTATGACATATGTATATATACACAAATAAAAATTATAATTAAATACATCGCCTTATTGTCAGAGAAGTGTACAGACTGAAGTACCCAAATGGGAGAATTTGGTTGGCAACTACAAATTCTGCATGTATTTCCTCACAAGGAACTAAAGCTTTTTTTATCCTGGTTATTGGCAGCATGAAACCGTGCAGCCTTAAATGAGAGTTCAAAGACACGGACCAGACCGGCCGGTGACACAGGCTCCCAGTGCTTTAACTGGCAGCACTGTCCTTTTGCAGGCGCTCGATCAGCTGTTCCGCCTGCGGAAGAGAGAAAACAAGGTGTTAACTACACCTGCACTTTGCTGAAAATTCCATCTTAAAAACAGTGAGAGAGCACTCCTGTGTGGTTCCTGTCACCAGACACACATCCCTTTGGTCATGTCACCGTGCTCACACGAACCTTCCTCGCCCCAGGCTATTTGTGCACCAGCGTGTAGCTGGGTGCTGCGTGTGGACCAGCACCAGCCCCAGATCCCCGGGGGGCTCAGGGCAGAGGGACCCTGCCAGCGCTGCCCTCCCAGCCAGGTGGGCACAGGGAGACTAACGGGGGCACTTTGGGGAGAAATCACTTCACCAACAGCCTTTTTTTTTGCCAGTCCCACTGAATTAATCTTTCATTTTGAACTAGTGCTTGAAAGGAAGTATCTTAAAACGTGAAAAGCTTAAGTTTGGCACGTTTTAAATACACACAGTAAAAATGCCATCAGCTACTTAAGGCAGGAACAACTTAATGGGAGTTAAGTAGGTCTTGCAGTTTATTTGCAAATAAATCTAGATAAAGCGTGAAGCAAGTGCAAATGAAGTGACCTGAGCCTTGCTTTGCATTCTTAAACAAGTATCACATTCAAGCCATTGTAATTTACAAAAAAAACCACCAAGCCCCAGAACAACTCAAGAACATTTTCCAAGTTAACAACAGGGTGAAATCTCTTTTGAAGCACATACATATCAGACAACCAAAGTTGGCAGAGATCCCCCTGAGCTCACCCCAGAGGGCAGGCAGCACAGCCCCACGCTGCGTGTCGCTCCCCACTCCAGCAGGGACACCGCCGTGTTGAGGGGGAGATGGCAGCAAGGCTCCCAGAGGTTCCTCTGCCAGGGCTGTCTCTGGGCTTTAGAGCAGACAGCCCTCTCTAAGGGGCTGTGCAGTGCCAGGGGACACTGGAGCAACACTGCAGGGACAGGCTCTGTGCTGCAGCAAAGCAGCCAGAGACCTTCCAACAGCGATTCGGGCAGTAAAGCTCCCTCTCACTGCTCATCTCTGCTGACATACACCAGTACACACAGTGCTTTTGTAACACAGACGCGGGGTTCAGTCTAAAGATGAGAAAATACGTGTGAAATGATAAAAGCAATCCTTAGGTGGCCGTGTTTCTCACCTAAACTGGCTGAAGCAGGGCATGTACAACACGTGGCCCGTCACACTCATACATCCTCTCCCATTAAACAACAAACTCTTGCCAAGTGTCCTCAGAAGCACATCGTGTTACCCTGAGCTACGCCTTAGATCCCAACTGCTGGGAAAGCTGTTGTCACTCCATTGCAAACACTGAAGTTACATTTTACCATTGTGTTTTCTCAAATACTTAATGCAAAATGTAAATCACAAACACTGAAGTTACATTTTACCATTGTATTTTCTCAAATACTTAATGCAAAATGTAAATAATTAATAATTATAGTAACGACACAAAAAATTGCTCAAAGAATGTTTGGGCATACTTAAAATGTTAGAAAGATGTCACATTTTCAGCTTGCAATTGCAAACCTCCCAAAAAGCCCATCCACATCACACTTACCGTGATAAACCAGTAGGAGTTGAGCCTGTAGACGAGCCTGGAGAGGAATCCCAGCTGGCTGGCGGGGGCCAGGACATGGAGGTGCAAGTGGGATATTGAGCAGAATGGAGGCCAGTGGAAACCCATTCTTCAGGAAAGCAAAACAAGTAAAAAACACCAGTGTTGTTAATTCAGGAAGAATTGGGACATCACAATTTAGTGACCATCACCACCTGGATGAAGAACTCAACTCATCACACTTTCCTCATACATAAAGGCAGGAACAAAAAAAGGCTCTTTGTTTCCTGAGAGTGTAATGAAAGGATTCTCAAAAGCCCATTAACCTCTTCCTTCACCTCTCTATACTTAAGATACGTTTTTTTTTAAAGGGTGGTTTAAAAAATATCTTAAATGTATAATTATCTGATTTTCAGCTAGAAAGACAACAGTCACTAGATCAACGTAGTTACGTAGTTTCTACCCATTTCAATTGCAAAGGCCAATTGTGCTCCCCACGCTCTGCTCTGCTTAAATCATGGTACCACTTTGGCTACCAAAGGCACTGATTTCTTCAATAACTCATACTGCAGTGTTTGCCACCATCTCTAAAATAGCTTTCTGAGAAGTAAAACACATACTCAATAAACACAGAAGGTTTCCACCACATACTCCGATTTTCAGCTAGAAAGACAACAGTCACCAGATCAGCGCAGTTTCTACCCATTTCGATTGCGAAGGCCAATTGCACTCCCTACACTCTGCACTGTTTAAATCATAGTACCATTTACTTTGGCTACCAAAGGCACTGGCTTCAGCCAAAGGGCACAGCACGGAAATCAAACAGTGACTGAAGCACCAGGCAGTGCCCTGCCTGAACAGGACAACGTCTCCCTCTCCTGTGGAACCCTGGATTTAGAGCCTATTTTCAGCACATCATTATGGAGCATCCCCCTAGATGAGTTGTCTGAAGTGCCCTAGCTATCCCAGGTGTGGTCAAGAAAGAGTCTCAGGGCTGGACACAATCTGTGCTGGTGGTTCATCAGAGAACAAGAGCCTGCATTCAACGCCAGCACATTCTGCTTAAGAAGTTAGTACGGGAATGCAGACCTGATTTCTCCAATAACTCATACTGCAGTGTTTGCCACCATCCTAAAATAGCTTTCTGAGAAGTAAAACACATACTCAATAAACACAGAAGGTTTCCACCACGTACCTTATATCGTTCAAGTCATTAAAATTATTTTTCTGGAGGACAGCTTTTCCAACTTCCATCATTCTCTTCACTGTTAAATACAAATAAATTTCATTTAATGTTTAAGTAATATTTTATATATCGTATTTCATCAATTTAAAAAAGGTATTCTCCAGAATATTAATTTCAACAAACCAATTACATTGAGATCACAAACATGGGTTTTTCCAAATGGAAATACTGTCACTACTCATCACCAAAGACTGTCAGGACAGTGTTGTACAACATTGACACTGTTATCTATTTCCACACCAATGATGCTTTTAAGTGTGGTGTTAGTGTGATAACTTTGGCCAAAGGTAGGGTAACACCACACCCCTATAACAACACAACAAATACTGATTGGCCAGAGTGACCATGTTTACACTCATTCCAGTGTTACGTCTCCACAAGCTACAGGACTTTGACCTCAGCCTGGTGTAAGTTAGGAAGTTTCAGAGATGGTACACAAATTCAAATTAAATTAGAATAAACCCCTCAATCCTACTCACTGCTAGGACAAAGTCTCATTACTGTATCACTGAGAAAAGGCCCAACCCTAATACAAAAACACCGAGGAATTGTCTCGAAGCCAAACGCACACAGAAGTTGTTTCTGGAGAAATCTACCCTGTGTTTAGAAGGGAAACACACTGATGCAAGATTTGCAACACCCAACTATAACTCTTTTCTTGCATCTCCTGCAAATTGGCCTAAGACAGAATCTCTGCGTGCGCGTATGGCTGTCGTTTCTTCTGTTACTCAACACACTTAGCCAGGCATTTCCTATGAAACAAATTCCAGGACAATGTTTTCATAAGAAAAGAAGAAAAAAAAAAAAGGAAAAAAAGCACCTATCAATATTAATCATAACTTTGATAAGAACCCGGTTTATCTTTTTTATCTTTTCCAAAGTTATTGGAAGTTTACTGGAAAACCATTTCCTTTTATCTTCTCTCATTTTCCCCCGAAAAGTAATGTAGCACTTGATTATTTTAAAATAAACATTTTATAAAATTCTCCTATAATGTTTCATATAATTTAAAATTGCATAAATATTTAAGAAAAAGCAATGAAGCAGCACATAAACACCTTCAAAATAAAGCTGTGGTTCCAACAAAGTGCGGAGGCATCTATACTCCATGCAAACAAAAAAGATTCAATGCACTGGTACAACGTTTTTACAGAACTGCACAAAAACCCTGACCCATTCCAGGCCAGCTCAGGGTAGTTCCCAGAAGGGTAAGTCCCTACACACCCCCCACCCCTGTTTCCATGGTTACGCCCTCAACCAAATGGTGCTCAGCGGTGTAATTTGCTCGACAACACACTGTTTAGGACTGTGCTGAGCTGTTTCCTTTAGGTCAGCACACCCTGGAGCCTCACCTAGAGGGACGTGCTCTGCCTTCAGCGTTTTGCAGTTCCCCATGTGCTCCACCGGCACCACCAGGTAGTGGTGGGGGGCGCTGGGACGGATGTCCCTGAAGCAAACCAGGTCTTCGTACTGAAAAAGGACGCAAAGGCATTGAATGGGTCAACACTGGCAAAGAGGGGGTGGCACAGTGCCCCTTCCCCACACCGACGCCACACTGCACACCCTGCCAGCCGCAAGCAGCGAACCCCCCAGAGCCCCCGCAGACACCGGCGGTCCGTGTCCCCAGCCCACCTCTCGCGGGGGGACTCCGGGGACAGCCCCCCGGTTCCCGGCCGCTGTGCCAGCCCTCACGGGCGGATCGCCCCGACCTCCGTGAGGGAGCCGAGGGCCCGTAAGGCCACCCCGGACCCGCCCAGCTGGCCCCCGGGCCAACGTCTCGCCCAGAGGGCTGGCGCCGGGTGACCGCCAGCTCAGGGGCTTCAGAGCCCGGTCCTCCGTCCTCACACCAACCCCCTCGGCCCTTCCCGCCCCCCCGGGGCCCTGCCCTCCCGTAGGCCCCGCTGCCGACCGGCCGGGCCGCCGCCATCCGCAGGGGAGCCCTCACACCGGCGCGGCCAGAACCCGGCTCTTCGTTAAAAACCGGCAACGAACAGCCGCCGCCGCCCGCCCGGGCCCCCAGCGGGGAGCTGGCCGGACCCGCACCGGCGGCCGAGCACAAGGGCGGCAGGAAGGGCGGCAGCAGGAGCTCGGCCGGCGGGACAGGACAGGACAGGCCGCCGCCGCCCGGGCGGCCCTCACCCACCTGGGAGGGCAGCAGCGCCGTGCCCGACTCCTCGCGGCGGGCGATCCTGCAGAACACGCACTTCCCGTCGTAGCTGCC